GAAGCGTAACGGTGTATGGAGTGGTCAGAGAGAACAGTAATAGTAGCGTTCCTGAAGTGCTGCTGTTACTGGTTTTTGTTTGTAGCCGTCAATTTTCCAGATCCATCGTGCACGAAGTAAGTGGAAGTTCACACTGAAGGACGGAATAATGCATATTTCTGGCAAGGACCACTGCTTCCAGCGCTGCTCCGGTGAAGCGGAGTGGTAATCGATGGGTTCCAGAACAGTCCGAGCGGACATATTGTTTTATTTGAACATAATTTCTTATTTTTTCTGCATTATATATGGGGATACTACGGGATATTTCTGATTATGTTGCTGCAGCAGCAGCTGATGCTGCTGTGCAGAACCTTACAAGTGCCAGCTATTCCTCTGCTCGTCATTGAGGCCTCTGTGTGGTGCAGATGAGTGGCTTCAGATCTGTTTCGAGGCCCTGTCGCGGAAACACTGGCCTCACCTTCCCTCAGTTCTGGTTCTCGGACGTTAGGAGCTTCGAAACTTTTATCTTGGAGAATTTTTGCTTTACTGCAATTGCAAATCGTGGCACGCAGTCAGGCTCGTTTTTGTTACCAGCGGAATATCATTGAGCTAGTAAACTGAACTATTTGCATGTGAAAAATGTCATCCATATAGCCAGGCTGAATTCTGCTTGAGCAGTCGACGTTGTTAGGACGCACCTACAGGCCGAACTTGGCTTGCCCCCGTCATGTCGCCTTCAGTATGCCCGCATGTCTCCTATGGTACGCACGTAACAACTTTCCTGAAGGCCACTCTGTCAGGTAACATAAAAGTTGCCGAAGAACACGACTTTAGTGATGCGAAGACTGAGCAAGCTGTGATCCCTATGGCTTCCGTGAGGGGAGTACCGCTCCGTCATTTTCACTTATGCATTGTATTTGACTGCAGTGAGTTAAAGTCATTTGTGAGAATTAAAAGCCTTCTAGCGGTAGTTTGTGTTTAATGGCTAAAATCTCCCAAAACCTTTGAGATCTGTGATGACTGGAAATGATTGCGTTTAGAATTTTTCTGATGGCCAAAATCTGCTGTGATATAGATGAGGTTGGCTGTGATAGAAGTGTTTTGTTTTCTTTTTTTTTAAACTAATATTGCTTGTTCCATAAGTTTGTTGGATCGCTCAATTGGCATTATTGTGTATGTCAGCTTCCTCTTGTTAAAAAAGCTGACTTTTCAAGGAGACAACTTATCTGGCAAAAGTCCACAGCTTTATCCAAGGACGATGGACACCTGCATTTATGCCCAGTTTGGAAGAAACGGCTCTTCGCGCAATTAAGTGTAGCTAAGCAGTGTAGTTCGCATGTGTGCTAGCGGTGTCGACCTCCCGTACTTGTCCGAAACTTTTCAGTGATGAAATCAGCTCTGGGGATCCCTTAATCATGAACAAGTATTAGCACGTAAGTAAAGTCTCAGGTCGTATTCCGAGTATTTACGAAGGGCAGCCTGTTACTGTTACGTGAACGCTGATGTTAGGCGTACTGCTTTGCGCCTTCGAAGGAACTGGGACAGTTTTTACTTCAGCCCATCACTGTCTGTAGAAAACTGGATGCTCCAGGCAGCATGTGCATCTCACCACAGCATATCTCCGGCCCCAGAGACTGTTCCAGCCTCTCACGTACTGTTGAATGGCGGTCTCCGTAAGTAGGTTTCTCACTAATTTCTGAGCGACAGTCATCCGAGAGTTGCATTTCTGCGACCGCTATGATGCCCAGCTTACTTGACTGCCCCTCCAGCGAGTTACTTGCTTGACACTACTACCGGATGCAGCCAAACGACTTCAGGCTGCCATACAGCGAGTTCTGGAGGGGGTGCTCCAATATGCCTTGAAAAAAGCAAGGGGTCGCCTGAGCCATTTAAGAGGCTAATACGTGAAACTAAGCACAACGACACATTCATGGCAAGCAGATCTTAAAATGGTATGCCACGCAACAGGAACTGATAATGGTCATAGAGCTGGTACGCTGTGCGAGATGTGTGAGCATCTCCTTGAGGAACGGAGTCTGACTTGTTCTGCTCATGTCTCCTCGAGGAACTTTGAAAGATCAAAGCGAGAAGACGAGGCCGAGAAACGTCGCCGTTTCATTCATTTTGTGCTACTCATGCCGTTTTGTACAGTGCACATTTGCTCCAAATGCAGCACCAAACAATATCTGCTGCATCACCTCTTACTGGCCAAGCTGTGCAGACTGAGATTAGTAAGGGAAAGAATGTGGCAGATTGTCTTCGAAGGGAAACTACGATGGCTTAAACCTATACTTCACCTTAGCAGCAAACATCGCATATGTCGTTGCAATAAAACTTGGAAGTATTTATTTGCAATTATGCTGTATTCCATAACACCGGAAAAACAGCAGCCACTTCAAAAACTCTGATCCGCATACCTTGGCGCACCAGCAAGCACGCTAAGAGGACAACCACTTCGGACCTCGGAAAATTCAAAAAGGTCTTGCCCACAGACGGCTTCAGCGTCAAATCAAAACCAACCTCGCAGCTTGTGAATGATCACTCAAGCTCGCTCTAAATCTTCAACAATCCACTCTTCCATCGTCCCCGCCTCAGGTGACAACACCCCGAAGTCCACTTTGGGTGGACTGGAGGAACAAAAATTACGCATGCTGCAAATGAGGATTTACCTCTGACAGGAAGAACTATGTGCTTGTTCAGCCATAATAATTGGCCAGCACGTCGACTGCTGGTGCGAGGATGCGTTTTTTCACAGTTCCACACAGGTTTTTGTCGTTAACGGCACCGGTTCTCCTGCGGATGCTCCTAGCTAAACGAACTGAGACCGGCCGCCATGACTGTCAGGAAACACCTCCTTAAAACCAGTTTTCTAGCTTTGCTGTTTCCCGAGTAAGCAACTTACCCAAAAAAACCTCCCAGGCCCGTAAGTGGGGACCACGCATACCCAGCGCCTCGGTCTGAGCTCACTAAGACCTGCATGGACAAGCGACTTCCCTTAAAATTCCAGCTTTCTAGCTTTTCTGGCTACCGAGTTAGCCACTTACCCCCAAAAAACTTTCACGGCCTGTATGTGGGAACCACGCATACCCGGGGTCTGGGTTTAAGCTCACTTAAGACCTACGCGGACGGGAAACATTTCCTTAAAATTCCAGTCTTCTAGCTTCTTAAGTTCCCGAGTTAGCAACTTACTTGTAGAAGATTTCCACGGGCCCGTACGTGGGTATCACATGGTAAGAGCGCCCATCTTGAGGATGGGACCTGTACATGGATGTAGATTAAGTTCCCAAAGTTTCAGTCCTGTAGCTTTTGTCGGTATTAAGATGAATAAATGGCAACGCGCACCAGACTAGCCGGTGCGATCATGCGTTTTGTGCAATTCAATCCATCGAACGATTTTCACTTCCTTGTACTTTAGTCTATGCAAAAACAGTTCAAACATTGAAAAACAGTTAAAAATTTCACGCACCAGCGTATGAAAGCTGAATTCGAAACCTTAGGTGAATATCTTTCCGTGCAATAGTTTATCCGTCAAAATTTTCACGAGGCCGTAGGTCGTAACCGAGAGCGCGAGACGCTGAATTTGAATGGGCAAGGTTGAGCGTGGGCAGGGGGTCATTATTCTTAAATTTCAGCCTCCTAGACTCCGAGGCCCGGAGATATTAAATTACCCGTGAAAAACTTCCACGAGGCCGTACGTGTTACCCGCGGGTAAGGGGAAGCTGAATTTGAATGGGCAAGGTTGAGGGTAGGCAGGAGGTCATTACCTTAAAACTTCAGCCTCCTA